CACACACACACACACACACACACACACACACACACACACACACACACACACGCACAGACAGAGAACAAACAAGGACACAAAACTCTCTCTTTCTATCTCTCTCTCACTCTCTATTTCTCATTGTCTCTAGGTAGAGCCTACGTGTTCATATTTGTCTGTTTACCTGTCAGTGCATCTGCCTATGTTAAATCTGTTGCCCTGTAGAAAGGAAACCCAACAGTGATACTGATGGATTTCTCTGTGCTTTTTCATTGCAGTACATTTTTTTCCTGGTGGTCGTGTGTGCTGGAGAGTTGGCTGTTGGCATTTATGTGGCCGTTTACAGTGGTGAGGTAGGTGAACCGCTTTTTGTCTCTGACTGAATGAATATTCTTTTGTGTGTCTGTATGGTTTATGATGACAGGTGTACTTGTTGCTGATGACAGGTGTTTGAATGTGGCATGTCTAGCTAACCTTAGGTGCAAAGATAATAATAATAAAATATCATGTGTAAAGCGCAAATTCCCCACTAGCATTGTTGAAGCTGATGCCTGCGCCCTAGTAGAAATAAAATAGCATTTGTAAAGCGCAAGCTCCCTTTTGTTTTTCAAACTGCCATCAGATTGATGTTATAGATATGGCATAAATAGACACGGCACACCCTCTTTGATTTAAAACTTGATAGATGAATTTTGTAGCTACTTGCTGACATTGATTCTTTTTTTATTCACTCCTTTTATATATATATATATAAATATAGTGTGTTTTACTTGATGCGTTTGGTAGTTGATTTGTTCTCTCTGTTTTTATTTTCTTTTTATTGAAATTGTACCGGGTAGCCTATTGTTTAAACAATATGTTTAGAGTATGTGCGTATCTGGTAGTGTGATAGTGGGGTGGAGATATTATCTTATTTTCGTAGCTCAAAATAGCGCTCTTTTCATATGAAATGAACCATGAAGGTATGTACCTTGTGACCTCCCCAGGCTGAGGACAAGATGGAGACTGGACTTAAAGAATCCATTCAGGATAATTATGGCAAATCCCTCACTGGACCCTGGGACCTGGTGCAGAAAGAGGTTGGTCGCCAAGTTTCCAATGCTGGGTGTCCCTGGGGTCTTTTTGACCTTAGTCGATTGCTTAGATAAGACATAAATTTAACAATTAAGGGTTCGGGTACCTCAAAAGAGGCACATTGTGGGTGGTTGGTGGGTGCTCTGGTGTGGTTTGCTTCTTCTTTCTTATCAAACATCTATCGTCCTTATCTCCCCTACTTTTTTTGTTTGTTTCTCTCTTGTAATGCCTCTAATCTTCGGCACTTATATGACCTTATTGTGTTACAAGTGCTGTAAAACACTACTAAAACAATAAGGGGCACACTGTTACAGGATTATTGTTACTATCTGTTAGTATATCATTTTGCCCATACCGTCATACCCAACTTTATAATGATCTGTTTCATCAAGTAGAATCAGACAAAATTGCATCCCCAGCTTTAAAGGATCTGTTTAATCAAGTAGAATCAGGCACTTCTCAGTGTGCAATGGTGTATGTCGTAGCTACCCAAAGAGAGTTCAGGTGCTTGGGTCCCTTGAGTTCCGGCAATTGGGGCTTAAAAGGTTATCAGTTTAATATGTGCGTGCGCCTTAAGCAAAAGTGTTCCCTGAAAGTAGGTCGAAGCAGTTCCCCTGCTGTTTGGCTAACATGTCCATTAAAACTTGACAAACAATTGAATTAGATTTACTGTAACATTCCATTTTTTTCAATGAGCTGTGTCATCATGTTATGTCATAACCAACGTTGTTCAAATATCAGTGGTCCCCCTTAGTGCATATTCTGTTCACACATTCAAAATCTCTTGTCCTTTTCATTGTGTGTGTTTTTTTAATGCCATAATTATTTCTAAGTGTGTCATGATTTAAAGAGGAATAATTTAGGAAGAGGCACAATGTGTCTTGGACAGTGTGACCAAAACGGCTGGTTCAAGTACCCTCATTTTTGTGTCTTCCATCACAGCTCAAGTGTTGTGGCGGTCTGAACTACTCGGACTACGAGAATAGCGATTGGCAGAAGAAACAGTCTGATGTAAGTACTTGAAGAATGGTATCCTCATTGTTTAAGATTCATCTTTAAAGCAGGGTTGGCAGGTGGTTGGTGGGTGCTCTGGTGTAATTTGCTCCTTCGTTCCTGTCAACATCTATCGTTCTGATCTCTCCTTCTTTTATATGTTTATTACTCTCTTATAGCACCTTTAATCTTCGGCGCTTATATGACCCTATTGTGTTGCAAGTGCCGTAAAGCTCATACAAAAACAAAAAGCTGGGTCGAATGGAGTTGCTGCTAATTTTGGTTTGTTGTGTTCAAGTAGCAAATTTATGCTTGCTGTCTAGTAAGATTAGAACTACTAATAGTACATTATGAATTTTTTCATAAGAAAAGGTGACTACTGTGATATGTCGACCGGCCCATGAAAGTTTTAAAGGATTTTGAATAACACTTTGCCTTCACAAGGCTCATATAGTAAAAACCCTTGCCATCAAAGGCAAAGGCATTTCGGGGAAAATCCAAAGAAACTGGGTGGCAAACATTGCCAATTGGCGAGATGTGATGGCAAAGTGTTAAGAGTGACTTTCCTTGAATGAATTGTAACTATTAAAATTTATGTGTCGTTTGAGGCTTAGTTTAATGAGCTTTCGTTGTCAATGTTGATGTTGAGTGAATTTGGAGTAAGAAAGATGCAAGTTAAGGCAGAAAAATGTCCAACACACAGCGGGGGAAAAAGCCCAGCAAACAACAGGTTAATAGAGCTCAAAATGAAGTCTTCGAATTGTGTCTTTCATTTTTGTGTCCACAGTTCATTAACAGGTTGACTTGTTTTAACTGATTCACCCCTTGTAATGTTTTTCTTCTCTCTACAGGATATTAAGATTCCTGTGAGCTGCTGTAAGTTGAATGCAAATGGACAGATCATCAATGAAACTAAATGCCAGATGGCCATGGACGGAGACTACTTCTACAAAGACAAGGTATTTTTCGGGCTCTTTTAGGGGTGGCATTTTGCTATACATAGTACACTCACTGATGTCATCTTTATAGTGCCTCGTTATTTTGAAGTACATGTACATAGCTTTTATTGAGTATTATTGGATGGATTTTCTGTGCTTTAGCATAGTTGAAGAGATCTACTTTTTTTTTTTCAACATTTAACAGAATGATTGGGTTACCTGTGCTGAAAGGGTACTAAATGAAATTTGCCTTATATAATTTTGTGTTCTCTCCACAGGGCTGCAAGGGAGCCCTCAATGACTGGATCAATGACCACAGCATCATTATGATCGGAGTTGGCTGTGGTATTGCTGCCCTTGAGGTAAGAATTGCCATGTTTTTAAATAGATAAAGTAAATAAAATAATGTACACTTTTTTTATCCTGTGGGAAAATTTTGATTACAAAGGCAAATATACTTTCATAAAATACATTATAATAAAACACATAGATATTTGTTTGTTTTTTATGCCCACTGGTCTCTTTTCTACTCTGGGGATCGTGGCATGGAGCATTTCCCCCCCTTGTTTTCCCAGCATGCCAAAGCCAAAGCCCCAGGTTTTCATAAATGGCAGGCAATGGTGCTCTAGCATGTGTATTTTTGGTGTCACTGTGTCAGGAAATAACTTGCAGAATAGTTTTAGATATATATGAATCATGTCTGCGCCAATGGAAATGTGTTCTGATGGGTTTGCAATATTTGTGTGAGAGATGGCATGGTGAATTCTGGAAAAACCACTGTTAAGTGCATTGAATTTCTCTCTTATTTCCTGAGCTTTGTCTACCATGGGTTGGTCAGATGTTAGACATACTGTGAACTGGGGAATGTGTATGCTGATATTAGTGTAAACTGTTTCTTGCATGTAATTGTGGCAGTGGTTGCCGATAAATGTTCTGCTGTGATAAGCCTGTGGGACTATCCCATGCATTTCTAAGTTTCTCCAAGCTACTTGTGACTGGGCCTGTCCCTACTGGGAATGGAATAGTTTTGAACTGATGAATTTCCTTCTCACATTTCTCCATCTACTTTCGATACTTGTTTCTGTCTCCTGTTTCAGAAAATGCGAGCTGGATCGATAACCACATAATAACTACAGAAAATGCAAGACAACCTTCATAATAATTCAACTTTTCGTCTAAACTTTTTTTGTATCGATTAACATTTTGACATACTCATCAAAGGCAGGCGATGTCTGCCTGCTTGTGTGGCTGATTCAGCGAAAGTCTGAGCCAGCGTTAAATGGAGTTCGTGTGTGGCTGCCTCAGGCAGGTTGTGATTCTAACGATATGTGCAGATACGGAGGAACAACGTGTCTGGTTTGAATGTCCAGGAGAGGTTCCCTAACACAGTTGTGAAATCGCTTAGCATTGGCAAAGTTTCCTTTTCCATATTTAAAAAATCCCTACTTTATCATCGGATGGGTCCGCTCTTCAGCTGGACCTTTTCCTTTCTTCATATCTTCTGAAGTGGTAAGGCACCAAGGGCATGAATATGTTCCCGTGGGTCCCAACAAGCCATAGATTTTGCACCAAAAAAATCATAATCACAAAACAAAAACACTTCTATTTGTTTCTCTCTAAATTGGCAATCTTGGAGATTCGAGATTCCTTCACGAAGTTTGGATAAGACAGCATCCAAAACTTCATAGGTATCCTTCTTTTTCACCATGGCAATGACATGGGTGTTCTCTTTAGAGTTTGGTTTTTCTATGTTCACTATCTGTGTGGAAATCTTTAGACTTCCTCTCCCATGATCACCACCAATTTTGACCCAAATTTGGTCACTAGGAATGCCGCCATTGTGCCACGACAGTTTCCTATCTTTTTCATACTGATCTATGAGACGGAAGATAAATTCCGGATGGTCGGGGACAGCGGCCAGTGCCTCCTCTGGGGAGCTGCTTGTTCCCGCCTCAGAGTGGACTTTGATTTTCTCTATTTCTACACTACCTGAAACAATGTTTTTATAAATTTTCCTCTCCTGGTGTTCGCCCGGAATACAAACGCCAACATTCCTCCACAATTTACGCCTCTGTCTATCCTGATGCCATGTCAACCCCAGGGCTTCTTTCATGGCAAGAGCAAACTTTGGCCCCTTTTACTTTTTCTCGTGTCCCACTTTTGTGTAAATTATTGCATCTGACTTTCCCTCTCTGTCTCTTTAGGTCAGAGGCATGCTGCATTTCTATGTCACTTTTACTTCTACCAGCAACCGACTGCATGACTTTGTAAATTAAATTTGTTCTTTGTTTTCTTGTCAGTAAGCTTGCTAAGTCTAATGATATTCTGTGTGTGACTCTCTGTTGAAACACTAATGGCTGTCCTTTTGTTTTGAACCTCAACTGTCCTTTCATCTGAGATGTGTTAAGTTTTCTGCTAATCAGATGTGTAGCAACTTTTTCTTCTTATGGATGAGTGGCTCTGTGATTGATTTCAAAAGTGTTGACTCTAATGTCGTTTCATGTTTGACCAATGGGGAGCTGGTACTGTCTTTGCACTGTTTCGTCTTCGTTTTAGGTGTGGGTGTCAAATTATGAGTTTCTGGTGAAATGTAAAATGAGTCTTCGTCTGTATGTGTAAATGTGCTGTCAGTTGGTTGGGTGGTAAAGGGCTGAGCACCATTGCCTGTACTAACAGAGGAAGCATCTGGGGTGGGGGTATCCGTTATGCACGCAGACTCCACTGCCATGCTATACAAGCGGGGGACGGAGAATGCAACTCGTGTCCTTCCGTAAGCAAAGGAATGCACTCTTTATTGCATTCTTTGCTAAGTTTAACACAGCGAGCCCATGCAGAGCACTCATTAATGCTAATGCTTGTGTCATAAATGGACCAAACATTGGCACTGTCTTCAACACATTTCTGTGCGCCCTTCAGAGTTGCATCTGTAATTTGCTTCCGTAGTGTGTATATTCATGAGCCACATTTCCTGCACAGTGTTGGAATGCGTGTCGGCTGTGTCGTTGTTGATGTTCAGTCTACATGTAGCAACAGGTCAGACTTAAAAGTTTTTGCACAGAAATCGACGCTGCTTAGAAAATTTAGTTTTTAAGCTTCTTCCTCCACAAGTACGATACAACTTGTTTAAATTCTCAAAGCGGATGTTATAAGAATGTTCCATCTTTGATGTTAAAAGGCTCTATAATTGTATCAGTGTACATCCTTTCTGATTTATAATCATTTAAAGTAAAAGATAAATGAAAGTGTAACATGTAGATGGTGAATCATGTTTGGTTTTGAACAACCAGAGTCGTTTTCTCTCTCTGTCAATACTGGCGCCTAGCAAACCTAGTGGTGACCATGTGAAGTATGGGTCTGAATACATTTCCATCACGTTGTGAAATCATGCTGTATTTATGTTTCTGTGGTGTCATAAAACTATATTTTGTGTGTTTATCTCCATCATCATCATGTGAAATGATTTATTATTGAGTGGATATAATATGTTTCCCTCATCGTACTAAATTGTGCTGTATGTGTATTTTTCAGCTTCTGGGCCTTGTGTGTGCCATCTGCTTCTGTCGTCACATGGATCGTGACAAGTACTCCAGCAACTGATGACTCACTGTCATGACAACCACCATCGGCCTTTGTCCTCATTGCCAACACTGCAGCTTTATCTTCAGAGCAGATCTAGGAAATGAATTGTGCCTAATCATGGTTTCTATATTACTTTTGTACTTACTTGATCCTTTTCCTCTCTCTTGTTCTCCGTAGGTTTTTGTGAGCTAAGGCTATAGGAAATTATTAGATATTCATGCATTTGTAACACTAGTTCAAATTACATTTTTTATTGTGGAAAGCAGATAGTAAAGAAAATATTGCCAACTGTTTTTACCTTAAACAATCTTCTGGTAAATGGTTATTGTGAGGAAGAGTTTAATCATATGAAAGGATACGTCTGATCTTTTTGATGTCATTTTGAACAGATCTGTGGTGCTTTAGGAAATTTTGTCTGAAATCTGTATTTATTGCAATACATACCACAAAACTGTTAAGGAAGCACCAAGAAATATTGTTCGTTCCTTTGGGTCTTTAAAGCTCATAGATGAGACACCTATCCAGTTACTTTAGTGGGAAGTGAATGAGATGATATATATTGCGTTCTGGGCTATCTGGCCCCCTCGATAAACCTGTGATTGTTCTACTTAATACTTAAGTTTTAAAATTTTTCATGTTGCGAAGCAATCGAAATTATAGAAGATTTTTTTTGTTTTCCCTGTTAAAGATGGCGCCTGCTTTCTTTACTCAGTCGGTGTCTGTTTCTTGAGAACGTCAATGTCTGCGCATTTGTTATCTTTCTTTCACATGCAAATTTTCTTAACTCTTTATCTCCGGCAAGCCGCTCCCTGCGGCCCGCGGTCGGAACCGCCGTGCCGGTGAGCCATTGACAGCGGCTCAGGCACATTCCTTTACGACGACTTCGACCTCAAAATTGTCGAAAACAGGTCTCTTTTACCGGTAGTTCATTCATTTGATGAAGAACTATCAAAATAGGTTTGCTAGTTTCGATTTGATGACCTATTTAATGACGTTTTTGTCATTTTTAGATTTAGCACCATACAAGGGCCCCGGCATAGTGGGTTCCCCCCCCTTTGGGAGATAAAGAGTTAATGCATTTAAGCTAAAACAGATCCACAATAACTTTGAAAGGGAGGAAGCCTCCTCTCCCCTTTTAGGAAGGAGGGCTTACTAACTTACTTGGTTGGAGAATAGGTATCATTGCTGGCGGTACAATGCCGTAGCTGCTCCATCCTCCTCTCCAGGATCCCTGAAAGAATCTGCTTGTTGATCGTGCTGATCAGAGGGGGGGGGCTACCTTGCCACCTCCTAAATGCTTGATTAATCGTCCGATATTTCAGAGGAGGGTACTTATCAACTTGTTCTATCTTTTGCTTAATCAGTTAATAACATACAGCACTCCTTTGTTTCCCTTGCTCTTTCAGTGCCCTGTTTGGCCATTCAAATGTCGTATGACACTTTGTCGTACTTATTTTCGTTACGATCTAGCTTTTTTTTTGCACAAGGATCTTGTCTGCAATGATGCTAGAGCTGGGACTGGTGAAGGGACAGAAGGCCTTAGATATACTCAGACAGGACCATCAGGAACAACTCGCAGCCAGGTGCTTGTAGCACTTGTCCTGGGGAAAATCATCCTTCACTTTTCTGAAGTTTCTTTAAATTACTACGCCTTCTGGTTGCTACACTTGATGTTTTACTGCAGAAAAATTCTGTGTCATTAGTACAGTAAGCTATTTATACCTGACTGTCATGCATAATAATTCTTGTTAATATTCTTTTTGTAATTACAGATGAGAGTCAGTGTTCATACTTAAGTTCTCTTAGTTTTTTTGTGAAAGCAATATATTTATTTGATTAGGAAACGTTTCAAGTGAAAAATATTGCAGCGTTCATATTTTATGCAACATGAAGTTACTGGCAACTAGATTTTTAAAAAATGCAAATTGTAAGTGTTGTAAAATAGAACTATTTCCCCCATTAACTTCCTGTCGTGCAATGTGCGACCGACAGGAGAAAAAAATGCTTTCAGTGATATTTTTAAAAGTCAAATTTATTGTTACAACTTTTTTTAACAAGACTTAACTGAAACTCCTCTTCTCGAATGAAAGGCTGTTTTGATATTTGAAAAATGTTCAGGACCGTCACATTTAACACTTTTCACTCTGAGTCTACTCACATCGCATATTTCTTTTGCCCCAGGTAATGTTTTGTTGTGTAAGGCACATAAATGATGTTATATATTTGAATTCCCACATCTCATCCAATTGTGTTGTCTGTTTTTGATGGTTGTATTTATGCAAATTTTATTCGTATTTGTTTCTCATCCTTCGCATAAAGTTTTATCGTCAACTACAATGCGTTACTTTGTGCTTGCGCCTGTTCGTGCACTTTTCATGTATTAGATGGCTTTTTGAAGTAACTGGTGTCATTTGTGTAAACAGGTTCCATAAGAATGTTCTTGGGATTTGCCATGGAACAAAAGGAAGAGGAAGAGAGAGAGAAAAACACTTTTTAGCAGGTTAGGTATTCAGAAACATCTTGAAACCACTTCAGTTGTCTTTTTGTAGTAAGGAGAATATTGTTCATACTATAAAGATGTGAGTTGTTTGACCGTGCTACTCTTTTCTTATTGGGATGTATCCCACACAGATCAGGATAGCCCTGACAGACATTTTTGAAACAGCCTTTTTCCTAAATTATTTGAAATATCAAAACTATTTTAAATGAATTACAGAAAAAGAAAATTGAACAGTTTCACCAAGGCGAACCTGTACAAAAGCTATATTTTATGAAAGCAAATTTAAACTCGCAGGTTTTTTTTTCTTTCATTATTTGGTACTCATTATCTCCCTGTCCATGTCCTTTGAAGTTATCCCTAACCCATCAACACCATTTACTGATTGTGTTAATTTGCTAGTTTGGACTCTGAATACGAGAACTGAAGACGTTTTGTAATTTTATGCTAGTCTGTCAGTTACAACACTTTCTGTCTCAGATACTTTGTGCTGCATGTACCTTGCTAATATTTTCTAAAATGGAGTCCTTATTCATCAATAAGATGAATAGAGCAGAAGCTTATCCTGATTTTCAAAGCTCTGAACTGAAAATGGTGAAGTTAGATTGCCTCTTTTTAGATGGGATGCTAGTTTATCGGAGACACAGCTCTACTCCTCTGCTGATGTAGGGACCTAGTTGTTCACATCATAGTGGATGGAGGAGAAAAAAGTAATTTTACTCGTCTTTCGGAAGGACACATTAGCAATCGTATTTTTCACAGAAACTGAATTCGCAACCTCTAGGTCTCAAGTGGGAGCTTTCTAACTTGTTGTGTGGAGCTAAACTTTATCTGACAACTCTGACTTTTTTACATTTATTTGTCTTGATAGATACTGGATGTGTAAATATGTACGTGGATATGACTATGCGTTGCTGTTTCTCTTTAAACTTGAAGAGGATGTTATTGTCTACAAGCTACAGGGCTGGCTTCAGTGTACGTGTCTTTGTGATTTGTGCCTGCATGGTTGGTGTCTGATATAGTAGTAGCTTGTATCCATTCTATGTAATCTCTCTCTCTCTTTCTCTTACTCAGTGATTGCTTTTCATCGTAATAACGTTTAATACTAATTGTTCAGTGAGAGCTACTTCATGCACTGCTGTTTTTTTCACGAAACGGATGTGAAGTTCAAGGGAAGAGCATTTGCTAGATTTTACACATATTTTGTACTAGTGGCTGCTTTTTTTTAATGCCCAGGAGATGGGGCTAGAAATCATAGTAAAACTTAACTTATTTGTTAAAGAAGATATTGGTGTACATTTTTGTGTTTCGAATTGGAAAGGGAAGGGTAGATCAAATAATTGCGCAGGGATTAGTAAGCGCTGTATATAGACTTCCTGAAGGTGTACTTTAATTAGACTATTTATTAAGTTGTAGCTTTTGTATTCTACCATTCCAGTTTCATATATTTTTATTATATATATATGTGCTAGCTTGTATTACCCCTGTACTGCCATTTGAAAATTAATTGACAGCTCAATTTTTGCACAAATTTGCCCTTTTTGATCTGATATAAATGACTTTTGAATTAATTTTGGGTGCTAATGTTTATGTTCAGAATACTTAAAAGTTCAGTTGTTGTACAGACCTTTGAAACTTGGGAATATTTTGAGATAATTGATAGGCTTTATTGTGCATGTATATATATATCTCCTTCTTGCTTGTGGTTTTTCTCAGGAGTTGGAAGTGTGTACTCTTTTCTCTGTCACGTTTTCTATTTCTTACGTTCATGTGTTACAACAAAAACAAACCTTCTATTGTTGCAATTAAAAAAGTTTTTCCTCAAGTTCAAGGCAGAACGGGTGACTGTTTTCATAATGGCATGGACGTCAAAGCCTTTATTTTCTGAGAATGATTGAATCATTTGTGCCTCTTACAATAGACATTTCAGTATATATTTTTGGAGTCCTTTCTTCACCAAGTTACCTCTTTGATTTCATTTTTCCCCCTCTGGCTTATTTTTAAAAACTCATATTTCCTCTCTCTGAATTACCATGTAATGTAGACTCACTGGATAAAATCATTTTCCATTCTAAAAAAATGTCATAGAGAACTTAATGAGCGCTATGAAATAACAAACAGTGAATGTTGTAGAATTCCATGTTGTTGCTGCCCAAGAGCCAGTCATGTATTTGCACTCATTAGTCATGTCTATAGTTTCACCCTTCACAACTGGACAGCAAGGACTTGGTGTAGCCTTGGACATATAATGTCTGTCCAATTAAAGATTGACAATTTCTTTAGCACTGCTGAAACTTGTGTCTCGGTTTCAGTCTCAAGCAGCATGATAAGGATAGGGAAGCTATTCTAGTAAATCCAAGGGCCTGCCTTATTTCACGGCAGAAAATCCTTAGAGGTAGAACACAAATTATATGGTACTAAAATGTCAAGCGAAAAAAATATTGTAAGCAATATGCAAATTGGGAGGACTTCGGGAATTTTTTGCCTTTCTTGAGCCTAGTGTTTTGCTTTTTTTAAAAAGTATATAGCCTACTCATGGTTTGTGATAGTTTGCTTCCCTACCCTCGATGAGTCTGCAAAGTTTGGAGAAAGAATCATCTTCAAACAAATTTTGACTACGACCAGTTTTTACCATCTGGGGAAAAAGGAACAAAATAATAAACATAAGATCATTCATCCGTAAAGTTCTCCCGACTTAGTGCTTGTATTATTATATATATACATCTTTATTGTACTGTATGGTATTTTGCATACAATAACTTACTTGCTCATCTTTTGAAAAGCTGATGTATTTTGTATTGTTTATATCTTATGTGTCCTAAGGCTAAAAATAAACTCCATTGTACTGTGTGTTCTTATCTCTGTGTTGTTGTCAATTTACTTCTTTTCTATAGCTCTGTTGTGACCTGTGATTTACTTGGGAATGTCAGGGTAAAACATTGTAGCTGACCTCACAAGGTGGACATGCTCCCTGAATCAGCATGTAGAATTTGGGAAGGAAAAGTAGAAGGTATACAGGGGAAAGAAGCAGTGCAGCATGCCAGCTCCCACAGACTACAGACACTATATCAACTGCTCGGTGTAAAACTAGATCTATCGTAATTTCAGTCACTTTTCAAAAAGGCCAATGGTGGAGTCTTACTCTAAGCAGTCAATATAGTGAGAAAAACGGTGGTAAACAGAAAGGAAATGAATTCCCTTTTTTTGAGTTTGGGCAACCTCTCTAAACGGAAAATCCGGCAGTCCTGCAGATTTAGTAGTTTAAGCGGACTCCATTGGATATAAAAATATTTGACTTTTGCAAGAGGGACATATATTTTTATATATATATATATATATATGAGGCTCGTATATTTATGCGTTTCTGTCCACAGTCAATGCTAAACCAGAAAAGCAGATAGACTACTTGTTTATTGTACCGGCTTGTTCAGGACCGAATTATTTAACAACCATTTCTGATAGGACTGAATCAAATGGACAAACTCATGTAAAGTGCCTTTCCTCTAGGACACAATATCGGACTGACCTGAGAGCCTTGAACAGACGAACCCACAATCTCACGATTACGGATCTGGTTGCCTAACCTCGAGACTACAAAAGCCACATTACATCTTAGGATGCACTATCAGTATCATGATCATTCCCCAAATGATGGAGACTATGATACAGTTGTAAAAGGACGACTTTGTTCAACATTGAGGGTCAGTGCGATGGGATGTGGTTAAGACTTGCTTACACAGTATAGGTGTCCTTATTGTCGCGGTAAGGCGCTTCACCATTGCATGGAAAAGACCTGAGTTCAATTCCTTTGTGGGCAGTATTTCTGTCTGCTGGGATGTGATCCCCCTCAACAGTAGTGACAGGCAGGGTCAAAGCCTACCTCTTAAATTATCTAAATTGTGTCGATGGGAGTGTAAAACAATTACAGTAGAACATGGCTATAGCTTGACATTTTGTTTCAGAAGAAAAATCCCGCTGTAAGTGAGTTCCCGCAAAAGGAATGCAAAGGGGAAATTACCGAAAAACTACTACATGTAAAAATCCACATGAATACCTCCCTTCAATATCAGACAATAAAATTTGCGCTTTTGATTAGACTTCCTTTTCTTGTCAACTTCATTGATCAACTCATGTTTTAAATTCGAGTGAGAAGCATTTCCTTTTGTCATTATTGGAAGCCATCTTTTCCTGGGTTTCATTGTTCATGCTGTCTATCGTACCGGAAGATCAACTGCAGAACTGGCGAAGTGGATGCCTGCGTATGCCTATGAGCGTCAACGATGGCAATTCAATGAATCAGGAATCACACACTAAACGCCCTCCTCTTCTTTTACTTTTTGGCCTAGCCTACGGCTATCGCAAATACCCTTTCATACTGAGCCTCTGAGCTACGGCACATCACTTTAGGAGAGGCTCACATAACGCGTCTCTCCACACCAGCTCTCTTTGCCGCCTGCCCTACCTCACTCATCACTGGACTCACTATTCACAACGCCGCAACGGTGACTGCCTGTTTGGAGCCCGCCTACAGCCCCCCCAACCCCCTTCCCCCCAGCTAGAGCTCGCTCGATCTCTCCCGCTGTATTCGAGTTTGGGCCTCTCCTTGCCCCGCTAAACCAGAGCACAGGTAATTGAGTTTTCATAGAGAAAAAAAAGAGGATTCCGGTAAGGTCCCGCTTTAGGGATGGTCCCGCTGTAGCAGGTGCCGTTGTAGTCGTGTTCTGCTGTATAATTACATTTCATTAAGACTTGCTGTGTTATCCCATGGCTCATTCTCTCAAAGTTCAGCTCGATATTTTCCAAGATTTTATACCATCCTCGTACTTCACCAAGTAGAAACTGATGGATGTTGAAACAGGCATCAGGTCTTAGATGACTGCTGTGTTGAAAGAGGATTTAGCAAATTCAATAACTGTATCTTGAATAAAATTCAAGATGTTTGCGATTAAAGGAGGTAAGGGTCGCCTGGTGGCAAAGTTTTATAATGGGAACATGGCCACTAAAATGTGGTGACTTCCAAAGCAGGAGTGGAAACTGCAAATTTCCATTCTTTGTCACTTTCATCAGTGTTTTTTAGTTTTAGCAGAGGTTTTACGGCGCTCGCAACTGCATAAGGTCATATGAGCGCCAGAAGATTAGAGGTGTTACAAGAGAGTAACAAACATAAAAAAGAAGAAGGTGAGATAAGGACGATAGAAGTTTGATAGGAAAGAAGGAACAAACCACACCAGAGCAACCGCCAACCATCCACTTTTGCTCATCAATGTTTTTCAGTAAAATCCACACTGGATGTATTCAGAGGACATGATAAAGTTGTTAAGCCAAAATAAAAACAAAAATTGATAAAAAGTGCACAACAGGCAGAAAATGTCGGTTTCTTCAATTTCATTATTTTGCGGCCTGATTTCACTATGATGCCACACATATTTTTATATATATATACAGTGGAACCTGTCCAAGATGAACACCAACTGTCAAGGAGAAAAGTGATCATTTTAAACAAGCTGTCTTCTTGGACTGTCATTATAATAAAGGAAAAAAATACAAGAGAGTTGGGGGGTGGGGGGGGGGGGTGATTGATAGTAGAGGTGGTCCGTAGAGCAAGTTCGACTAATATACATTTATGCACTGGAAACAAGCAGGTTGTAACACAAGGCATAACTTCACAAACAGAGCATCAGACTCTATGTAAATCAACTTTTCAAAAAGGTTGCTTTTTGCACAAGTCTCTTGAAAAAATGACTAAACCTTTTACTGTTTCTGAGCATCTTACTTTGCTCAATTTATTTCAGTTCAAGACATTGCACTTTAAGGAGAAGTATAACAGTTCAGAATTGACTTAAACTATTCTTATCTTACACAATGTCCCTTATGTCCACCGATGTCCATCCTCACTAAAGTAACAACTGCTTGAAACATTGGGTATCAGTAAATTGTGTAGCTACAAATTCAAGGACTTTAGCACAGAATGACCACCATCTTTTAATGAGAATCTGTGACTTGATCTACATCTTTTTGCTTCTATCCTCTGGTGTAGATTCATCTATAGCCCCCTATCCTCCAGTGCGTACCTCTGACTTCATCCAGACGACCATCCCCCTGCATGTATCTATGACTGCATCAAGAACTTGTAGAGGTGATAACTAGCTACCAAAAAAAAAATCCAGAAATTTTCAGGCCCCAAGGAAACACTCGCACAAGGACTCAAAATTTAAGGAATAACATTGTCTAATACAACTTGCATCAAGACTGTTTTCATGACGATCCACTGATGTCAGATATAAACCGATCAATTACAGGAATTCAGATTTCCGGATTTATGCAGAAAATCTGCACCTCCGGTCTTTACCTCAGAGTGACCCCCATTCTGCGAGCCACCTCCATTCGGATCAAACTTTGTAGTTTCCATGAAGTTAGATAAGGGAGGGCCTGGTCGTGAGAGAGGAAGTGGAGGCGGTAACAGCGACTGCGTTGACCCGACTCTTGGTCCTGGTAAGTATCGATGAGCTGCACTCTCACCACAAAGTCTCCAGCCACACAGCGGACAGCATCCGCCAACTCATATTCATCCACAGTTTCTTCCGAATCCTTCAACCAAAAACTGAGATCATGAACGAGTTTCATTGGGAAAAGACTGAAAGGTTGATACACATGAGGGAAGCCTGATGCATGAAACTGTTGGGTAAATTTATCCCTCAGTGACCACAGCAATCGTGAGTTCGGTAAACTGCAGACCGCACCAGCAATGTTGTCCAGACTTAACAAACAGATCTCACATTTTTGTCCGCACACATCGGCAGAACAAAGTAAGCCAACAGTGCACACTGTCTTGTCAAATTTCTCTGTGTCGTCTTCCCGACATTGTCTTCTTAGTTGTACCGTCTTGAGGTCTGTCACACTATCTAAGCTCTCAATAAGTACTTCACATGTCTGATCTGCAGGTCTCACTTCAAAACACCAGTCTGAGCAGAGACTGGAGGTATTGCAAGCTGCAATTACTTTACTGAGAACTGAATCAGGAATCAGTTTGTCCTTGTCAAATGAGGAATAGGTTGCAAGTGTTTCATTTGGAGGACTCGAATGACCATCAGTGCAAGAGGAATCTTTGGGAGAATCAAATAAGGTGCTACGCTCCACTACTCCACCGGGACCATGAATCATCAACAGTTCGTGTGTGACAGGCAAATGGCCAGGACGGACGTCACAAGGTTGGTAGCACTGCCCTGTGAAGGCCACACATTTGCCCCTGCCCTGACCAACACTACCGTCAGTACCCAACACACTAGAGGCTGTCCCGACACTGGAGCTGTCAGCGACACTGTGAGACCATAAGTCTCCAGCTACTTCGAGCAGGGAAGTTCTGAGATGGAACACTCGCTGGCTTGGGTCCTCCTCCAAAGTCTCAGATTTCATTTCTGCATCACCAGAGAGCTCATGTACACCTTCCTGACATGCACTGTCTCCGTCGGCACCCTGACAGCTCTTGGGAGTGCGTTTTATTGCACTGTACACAGCTTCTGGTTCTGACGGCAAAATCAAGCCCAGTTGCGAAAACGTGGTACTTACATCATCATGATGCTCATGAAGTCTTTCTGTTGGAGTTGTCTTATCTTGAACGATACCATGCGCCAAAGTGTTGGAACTCAACTTCTCTTTGTTCTGTAAAGTCACATTAAATTCTTCTTTCTTTTCCTTTACGGTCTTCTGCTCGACAGTGCCCTCATCATCAACATCCAGCTGTCGAGCCGAGCTTCCTGTCAAGGTGGACGACCCTGCACAAGGCTGACACAAGTTGACCACCGCTCTAGATCTGTGACCTTTCACGAAGAGAAAATCATCCTCAACATCTTTACAATCCAGCTCCAAGTTCTGAGACACCGTCTGCTTCAGAACCCGGCAGACCAGGGACACAGGGTTGTTGGCCTCATGAAGAAGATTCCTGTGACCAAATAAGAATGAATTTTACCTTTATTTCTACTCTCGTACAATAGTTCTTTTGAGCTAAGGTTTATGAGATTGCAGTTCAAAAAGGTCTTACAAGAGAGAAGGATTTGACAGACTGATTGAGTAGAATCAGTCACTAGAACAGGGATGTGCAACAGGCGGACAGAGGGGCCACAATCTCACTTGCCAGGCCAGTCAGTGTGGCCCTCGCTAAATGGTTTTATATTTTATAATTCAATACACTAGTTGTTATTACATTAGATACTTTGATGGTGACTGGCCCTGATTGTCGTTCCCGTAACTGAAATTGGCCCACCCACGAAAAATGTTGCACACCCCTGCACTAGAACTTATTCAGAAAGATATATCTATGCAAAACAGTAACGCTTTCGACCCACTTTTTCTTTTTCCACACTCTAAAAAGAGTGAAGTGATAACTGTAGACCCACTGCAAACCAGCATGGTGAACAAGCACAAAAATGTGAGCATCTATCTATGCTCAGACGTACATGAGAGACAGCCAGTGAGAATTTAAATTGTTTTCTTTGCTCTTGTTCCCTCTACTTCAACAGTTGGGCCAGGAGCTCAGTAGTGACGATAACAGCAAGGAGACAAAAAAGGTGAAAATTTTGGAAGACCATGTAATATGAATAAAAGGTAGTCTTAAGTCCCTCTCTGGAAAGTGTAAACTGAAAGGTATGAGAAGAAACTGCAGAAAAAGAAATTAGCAAAGATTGGCCTACTGTGTAAGAATCCAGAGAGTCTAACGAGTTCACTTTTACTGTACAACAGATTTTTAATCTGGTATGGACAAGCACATGACAAAATTTACATATTGCATGCACACTGATACTGCTGAGTGGTTCAATCGCAACTCGTTTTTTCAATCTACTCAGTCACTTGTTCCGTTCATGCAGTCAAAGTGTTTACTTGCCTCATAAAAGCTGATCCAAATCACTAGTTATTCTTTCCCTTCACTACAACTGGTTCTGTCTCCTAGATTCTATATTATCATTAATGTCTCGTATCACCTTTAAAGTCAATACATCCTGAGGATGTCAAACCTTTGAAATTAAGTTCATAATGACCAGCCAACAAACCTCTTTCTCCTGTCAGCTATATAGCTTGAGCATGAGTAAGCGACATCTCCACACAGGATAGAGGTCCGAGCAACTGCCTCCCCAACTTCCACCAAAGGTGCTCGCTCAAACACATGGGTCAGGCCTCCGCCAGTATTGAAACTTTTGTCTTGGAACCTGCAAAATTTTTTTAAAAAAGGAATCAGACTAGCAAGATCATAATTAGGAGTAGACCAGAGATCCGGCAGCAAAATTTTTCACTCATTAAAGTAAAAGAAATTCAGTCATTAAGTTGTTTTAAAAAATAAACTTTAATACCCAGCTACCCAGTTGTAGAGTCCACTTAACCGAACAACAGGATTAATCTAAAAAGAGCAGTAAACCGAAAGACCCCCCCCCCCCCCCCCCCCGATTTGTTTGTTTGCTTTGAACAATCTCTCTAAACTAAAAACATAGCTAAACTGAATAAATGGTGGTCCTGCAGATTTCTGTTCAAGAGGACTCAACTGTATTTCATACTTTGACTGTAATAAAGATTTCTTGTAGTCACTCCCCTGTTCAAGTGGGAAAGGATAAATAAAAAGATTCTACGAAATAAAGGCCACAGGATCAGGAATACAAGAAAAAAATTTTTAAATTAGGGCAGGAAATGATCTTGGTGAAGAAATGAAATATCGGTATTCTAATTTTATAATCTTCAACCACAAAAAATAGAGATAAACATGAAAAAAAGAGATGCAGTCGAATCTGCTCCAACAGCTGCCTGTCACCTAAGCAAATGCCAAGTGCCCACTTTTGCCCTTTGTGTTTAAAAAAAAATATAATGATACTGTCCGAGACGTCCACCTGACTAAGACAACTGCTTTTCTCCTTAACGATGGGTGGCCGCCCTAGGCCTATACTGCACCTAAACAAATCTGTCTTTAGACAGACTAAAGCCTGTGTTTTAGAGACTTGTGAACCATGGAATACGAACCCTACCACACTACTTAGACACAACATTTGATTCATGGAAAGTTGTAACCGGGCACAAACCGAGTACGGCAAGTCTGTTGTTGTTGTTGTTATCGATCCAGCAACAGCTGAGCTCTCACCCTTCTGTCCAATGCTATATAGTAATAAGTGCAGGGTTTCTGCAGCTGCTGTAATGTTCCATAGAGTGTGGAGTCAATATTAGGTCTCGGAGGGAGAAGGGTAGCTCTGATGTCATTCAGGGATGTGCAAAGGAACAGATGATGGTCCAGTCTCATATATAAAGTCACACAAGGGACACATTGGGGGAAGTTTTGGATTTTTTCTTTTCAAGTGGAAGTCAGCTGTATTTGTTCTGTCGTAGGCGGAAGATCATGGTCTGTTACTTTATCTGTAGGTGGTTGATATTGTCATTCCGTTTTGTTATGGTCATATGTTTGAAAACTGCTCTACCTGTCTTTCCCAGGGCCTATCTGTTTATCCAATCTTGTTTGTTGTTGCTTTTAATTATTTGTTTTTCAGTGTTGTATGAAAGTGGGAATGTTGGGTTGTTCCTATTTCCAGATTCTCGTTTGGCAAGAGTGTCTGCCCTGTCATTTCCAGGTATGTTTGAGTGTCCGGGGATCCACTGCATTACTAGGTTGATGCCACAGAATGTTATCAGATGATGGGAGCCAAACAGTATATATATATATGTCAAATCTTGGTTTAGAAGATGGTTATTTTCTATCGCTTGCAAGACTGATAGCAAGTCAGTGAAAAATCACAATACTCTGTGCTTTTCCAGGATGAGTGTCAAAAACTGTGCAGAAATGGTATAGTGCTGTTTCAATTGCCATCATTTTTGCATCATAGTTGCTGCATTTCTCTCCACAGGCTACAGAGATCTCACTGGAACTTCCATCTGGGTACTGTACTTGTATTCCATATCCGGCTTTGGTTGTGCCTTTGAATGCTGTGCCATCAGTATAGACGTGTATCCAGTCATCTGAAATGCTGTCGGTTGTTAGAAGTGATGCAAGCATCAGCGTCACTAGGTCTCAAATTTTGTGCTGTTGTCTCTGAAAGATGTTGTAATGATTGGCTTTTTAAAAGAAAGGTGGGGAGGGATGTTTTGGTTGACTCTTTTGGTTTCTTTTCTGTTGTGTGGTAGATGGTGACTCTCAATTAGCTCTGTGATGTGATGCACGATTGACTTTTGTAGAATTCGTTTCTTTGGTTCCCATGTTTCTACTAATTTCCTGATTGGGTGGTTGGGGCACATTCTTTTGGTTCTTTCTTATATCTCCAAAAATGCTTAATCTCTGCGGATTCCCAGGGGTTCAACGTTTGAAAGGATTTCACATGCGCCGGTAGGTGTGGATCTCATGCCACCATTTATGAAACGAAGGGCATTGTTCTGGACCTTGTCAAGGGTGTTGCAAGTAGTTTTACAGCACATAGTGAGTAGGCTTTTACTGTATTCCAGGGAAGATCGGACATAATTAAGGTATAGAGCTCTCAGAGTTTGTTTGTCTGATCTCCATGAACTGCTTGCGAGTTTCTTTAAAAGTTGGAGTCTTTTTTGTTGCCTTGATCTTTAAGTTCTCCACTTTGCTTTTCATGGGTAGACTTTTGTATTCCACTCGTTCTCCATGTGGTATTTATTAGGGAAAGAAGAACTTCTTTTCCTTTAGCACCAAGGTTGCACTGCATTTCGTTGTGTATTTTGTTTGGTCCTGAGGCTTTCTTTTCCTTTAGCTTTTTGAGGGCCTGACTGAGTCCCACCATGCTATAATCCTCTTCAAAAAGCGAGTTGTTCACAGTAGGGGCTTTTTCTTTATGCTTAGCCCTGTTTATGAGGAGTCTATCAGCCTCGGGAAGTCTGCTTGCCCTGTTTACAGAGGTGAAATACCGATTAAAATGTTCGGCTTTCTTCTGGTCTTCAGTGATGGTGCTGCCTGGAAGGAAAAAAGGTTTGGGGTTACTTTTCTGTCTTTCTCCCGACAGGTCGCTGACAAGGGACAAAGCCTTTGTTCCATTGTGGCAAAGTTCAAGACCTTTGCAGGTTTGAGTCCATTTCTCTTTTTCGGCTTTTTTTACTGTCACTTTCACCTGAGTGCAGGTCTTGTTGTAGTGTGTTTTGGTTATTGGAGATGGTGATTTTTCCAATGACTGTCTGGCTCTCTGTCTTTCTGCTACAGCAGTCTGGATTACTTGACTCCAAAAGGGTTTGAAATTTCTTTGGCATCTCCGTGGAATGTGCTGAGATGCAGCTTTAAGAATATTTTTTGTGACTTGTTCATTAAAAAGATCAGCATCTTATCTTTCTGCTATGCTAGAGAGCAATCCGTCCGAGGTCTTTTCGTATTCTGCCCATTTGGCTTTCTTAAAGTTCCATTGAGTCCTCTCTAGGGTGGTTCAATGCAGGTGGGGAGGTGATCTGTGTAAAGATAGGCCTGTGATCACTTCCTATGTCATCAATCACTTCGATGTGACAGGAGTTTTTAATGTCAGATGAGCAGATGGTGAGATCAGGCCAGCTGAGAGTCAAGTGGGCTCTGTGAAGAAAGGTAGGAGTAGAGTTGACATCTTGTCACACAGATAGGTTGCTGGTTTCACATAGCTACTCAATCTTCCAGCCTGTGCTGTTATAGTTGAAGTAGCCCCTTTCAGGAGAGAGGCCATTGAAGTCACCCGCACAAATTAAAGGTTTTTTTCATAGTAGGCTGCTTGTAGATCAGACAAGTCGCATGTTGTCAGTGGGGGGTTGTAAACATTGTAAAGAGTGTACCTCCTACCAATGTTCCATAGGGTGGCTTTCTGGATATCCGTTGGTTGGGCAGATGATAAGTGTACGACATATCCCTGAAAATCGTTTCGCAGGTAAGTGACTACACCGTGGCATCCTGTGCATGTGCAGGTGTAACTGGTGTATCCTGTGAGGTTCAGGTCCGTGCCTTTGTGTAGGGTTTCTTGAAGGAGGACAACATGAATCTACCTGTCCTTCAGGACTTTGAGGAGTTCTGTTTTCTTGTTCCTCAAACCACAAATGTTGAGTTGCAAAAGGTTGAGGGAACTCTTCTTCTGGTTGGGGATGTAATTGGCACCCTTCTCAGGCCAAGAGCTTTTCCATGCTGGTTTAACACTGTTTCTGTGTGTATCACCAGTAGCTGACTTGTCACTCAGAGCAGCCTGGTGATTGCGCTGCCCAGCAGACCTTGTTTAACGAGGTGTCGTCCAAACTTGCATGTAGTTTCTTTCTTTGTGTAATGGCATTGTGAACTGGGGTGTCTGTGGACTGCCTGCCCACCCTGAGAAGAGGCCATTCATGTTGAGGGCAGGAGGGTACAAGGGGTTTTCATGAGACTGGAAAGACATAACTCCCCTGTGACTGTGTAGCTCCGGTAGGGTTCACGTTGCCCATTCCCCACCACCAATGGCTACTGGCTATAATTGTCTACTCTTGCATGAGGTTTCAGCCAAGTGGGAAAGCCATTGGGTCATCACGTCCTGGGTCGATGTGCCTTTATTAATATGTCCACGGTCAGAAGGCAAGTCAGGCATTCCACTCAGTCCATTCCCTGCACCCAAACATTCTCAAACCATCTGGTATCTTCTCAGCCACAGTGGGCGTGTTGATAAAGAGCAGTAAAAGTGTTAGGCAGATAAGACACCCAATCAAGGGAGAGTAGGGGTGTGTTAGTGAGGAGTATAGCGTCTACCACACATTGGTGGGTTCTGCCTCCCGCACCTTATGGGGCTAAACCTGCTCCCATCCTGTTGTTTTGACCCCTCTAGGAAACGGGGGGTGGTCTGTAGGCGCCAACAACTCGCCATTCGCCAGAGCCATATCAGTGAGAACAGGGACCACCACCGGTAGGTACGGTCGGCTGGACTGGGAGATGCTGTGTGAGACGCTTAGGCATTTCTCAATATTTAAATGAGACCCATCACTAGTCCTTGATCCCCATGACAAGTCTGATTAAAGATTGGTTTGAGCCAGTAAGAGGACAGAGCAGTCTACCGCACTAAGATAAATCTGCCCTGAAATTTGACGACACGCCGAGTTCCATACACCTACACATGAATACATCCATTTGATGAGTGTTTTGATGACATGCAGAGTTTTTTTCACCAACACATGCATCTGATTGTTTTTACGCCATACTACATTCTGTGCACATCGAACAAGGACCATCAGCAAATATTTTTTAAATTAATCATCAATGTTGATGTTAATTGGACTGAGAAATTAATAAGTGTAGTTGAAGGCAAACCTTTGCTGTACAATAGAGCTTTGAAAGATTAGTCTGTAAGAGATAAAACTGCCCTTTCAGTAATCGTTAACTGGTAAATGGATGAATCTAAAATCTTTTTTTTATGTTTCTTTCGTCTGATTGAAAACATTAGAGCACATATATATGCTACCTCTGTCAATTCCATGCTCAAAAAGACTTGTTAATATCAAAGTCTTAAGACGCTTGCGTCTTAGTGCGGTACGGCTCAAGTGGAAGTTAAATTCTGTGACAAAATTAACTAAATGGTCTAAAGACATACTTGTCTAGGTGCAGTATCGGCCTTAAACAATTTCGGCTATCTATTCTATTCTTAACTCTTCATGTCCGGTGAGCCGGTGGCAGCGGCTCGGCGCGAAGTGGGTTTGGCCGGCGAGCCGCTGACACCGGCTCGTTACACTAACCCTCATTAAATACACCCGAAACTAATATTTCACGACATCAACCGAAATTATGGTCGCAAATGCCGAAAATAGGTCTTTTTCTGTTTGTACTTTCATTTTGTAGCGTTTGTGCGGGCGCGTTTGCTAGATTTGATGGCTTGTTTCCAAACAGCTGATTTTTTTGTGTATAATTTGTTTGTGTTGGTTAGGGAGATTATCATGGCTGGAGATTGCTCCTGAAATAATTCTAGTGACAGTTTTCTTGTTTGGATTATACTGAGACAAAGTTTTCATTCCATTTCGATATTATAAATCTAGATCTAGAATCTAGATGTTGGATCTTGTTGAGGCACTATTCAGGTTAGTTCATCGTAATATGTAGGCCTATCTATGTCTATGTGAATGTGACTTTTTTATATGTGGTTATTGTACATCTCATCTTACACCTGGAAACTTCAAATAGTTACTCAAAATTACTTTGAAAACGTGCATAAAGACACAGTTTTCATATTTAGGTATATTCAAACAAAACTATAAATGTAAGCCTTTGATTTATTGTATAACAAAGTGTGTAGGCCTATATATAGAAATCTAGATCTAGATCTAGTTGTGTTTACACTTTTCATGCCGAATGTGGGTTCTGATACATTTTATTATTTTGGTGTATTTCAAAAGAATGGGCTTCAAAGAAGCTACAGCCACCATGAATGTAATCCTAGAATGTATATCAACATTTTTGCTTCTTTTACTTTGGCTCTGTGTTCAAGTTTTATAAAGTTACACCCCTATTTTTGTGAACAGTGTTATGTAATATTGCAATTATTTTTTTGCTAATGGCCATTTACTTCAATAGTCAATTATTATTCTTCAATGAAGGCATCTAAAATGAACACCAATAAATGCAACTTTCATTTCTGAACACAAACATACCAAATGTATTGATGTGGGCGTAGTAGATTGAAAGTTATATAGACTTTTGTAAACCACCCTACTGCTGTATAGGATCAGTCCCTGGGAGGCTTCGGTCAGAACGAAAATCCTCTACGGACATGGAGAGTTAAATACAGGGAAAACTCAATGTACAAATGGTAGTGAGATAACAATTATCATTGAAGCACAATTGCTCTACTGTCAGTTTTCTTACAAATTAATAATTACCTGAATCCAACACTGTGGTATTCTGGGTACTTGGTGGCGTCAAACAACATGACATCTGTCAGCAAGAAACCAGAATTTGTTGCCATGGCAACAACCTGCCAGCTGTCATGCCATGACCTCATTGGGTTGTCAGCAGGTGTGCCACCTTGACCTTTGCACAAGGTCACCATAATCTGGCCGTCTTCAGAGAGAATGCTGGCACAACTGAGGAATATAAGGAATCACATCCAACTAAATATTTTGCACATTCACTTGACACAATAGTATCCCCAAAAAATGTAACACTCTCCTTGCAGACAAAAAAAAATCTGAACAATCAGGACATTATGTTCAATGCACCACTGCTGCAAATGAAATATTTTCAAACAGCATCTTTTGAGACTAAAGTAAAACTCCTTCTACATAAGGCATATGTTGGTGCAAACAAACAAACAAACAACCTGATATTAATTGTACTTACTTAACCACTACTAAATGCACAGAGGGACAAAATGAGTGGACCGGCATCTGTGGTGTATCGGTGACGTGTTTCACCATCACATGCAGAACACCTGAGTTCAATTCTCGCACAGCGAAATTTTTTTAAAAAAATCTCGGTTCTTCTATTGGGACATTGTATCCCTCTCGACCCAGGCTGGCCCGGACAAGCAGGGTCAAAACTTCCTTCTAAATGATCGAAATTGTTTCTATAGTGGCAAAAACACCCTACATTGAAAATAAAATAAAAAATTAGATGAGTGGTACCATGAGGTTCCATTTAAAGTCTCATTAATTTTTGTCTCAGATTAGCTAAACAATCATGCACATGGCAGATTGATAAGTGACCTGGATGGGCCTCTGACAACGTACATTCTAAACACATTTGACACATATTCATAGCAGTGGTCTGTGGCCTTGGAATCCTGGGTTTTTTTTAGACTTAACTTTTCAGCAAGACAATGTACCAGTTTTAATTGAGCACATTCTATGGCTCATCTAAATTATTCAAGTATCTTCAAAGACTCTGACATGGTTCCAAACATTCTGACACAGCCTCAGAGATTCCAATCTTTCCTTGCTCACAATTCAGAGGAAACAAAGTTTTTAAAAAAAATCCTTTTTGTACAATTTTAATGTGACAGAACTTAATAAAAGCTAATTTCACAGTCCTACAGATTGCGTAAAGAAGATGGAAGAAAGAAAGAAAGGTTGGGATGTTACACAAAAGTAAACTTCTCACACGTGTATAGTAAATCATTTACATTGAAGAGCATTATTCTGCTGGCCTACATGATATAACACTTAACTTATTGCAGGCAAAGTAGGGTGAATTAAACTTTACCGCAAATCAGAAATGTCATTCATACTAATTCAATTAACGTACATTACATAGTACAAACTTTGAATGAGTGAATGTCTTGCCAAAAAGAAGTCAATCAAACACCACTGACTTCAAAAACACTTACCATATTTATTTTGTTCAAGGCTGCTACATTACTCGGTTACTGACCTTGCAAAGAAATCAGCCAAGAGAGCTCTGTTCTTTTTAATATTGTGTCGATCAGCCAAAGGGAAGTTGAAAATGATCCTTGCATACTTGTATTGGGAGATGATTGGGTGGGTATGAAGTTCTCTTGCATCTGTCTCCAAGAGCACCAGTCCACCTGGATCAGAACATAAGGAAAGAAATGCAGGGAAAATCTTGTCAGTGTTACAGGAACATGAGTGTGGAAGGGCTTCCACAAAAGCTCAGCAATTACAGTGTTAAAACTTAATACAATGCTAAATCACAGGGGAAAAAGCATGCTATCCATGATATAAAAATAATGACTGCCTGAATATCCAGGAAATCAAATAACAATAAGGCAAATCACTTATTATTTCATCTCATTCAGCAAAAATAATATATCATCTATCAACCAAATTAATTTGTTTTCTGATAAAAACAGCCAGAAACTTCCTATAACTGTCTAAGAATGAAAAACAGAATATTTATCCTGCTTGTAGTACAGGTACCTTTAACTGTGACAAACGATGCAACAAGAGGCAATATTTTCATTCAAATTATGGCAGGAAGGGCAACAGCAACAGGACCACTCCAAGCAACTAGTCTTGAATATCAATATCAAAATACATAACTCACTTGAAAGGTGTGAAATGTTCCTCAGCATGCATTTTCTAAAGGGAAAGGTGGAAAGTGTTTGTTCCTGGCTTACATCCTGACCCAGGGTGAGAAAGACAATAATGAAGATATCCATTCTCTATAGCTTCATCACGGGAGTTCTTACCCAAGTCTTGTATGGCCTTCATGTTGTCAGAAGCTAATTTATGTTGCTGAATGGTTGCAGGAGTCTCAATGTTTGATGAAATAACTTGTGATGGTTGCAGCGTCGAAAGTTTCAGCAATGATACAGTGAAGGAAAAGTCTCCATCACCTACAAGCAGGACTCGACCATGACATGCAGAATCCATTCTGATTTAAAAAATGTATAACATTTAGAAAAAACAAAAAACAAATTTTAATACAGAGCAAAGTACTGCACTGTAAAGGTCTTGGTTTGATTTGATAGTATGAACAAATATGAAAGACATCATCGAAAACTTAAACCAAAAGCTGAGAGGTCACCTTTATCCTGATAGAAACTAAACACATTTGAATGAATTTATTCTCTACAGTTAAGACATTTCCAAACAATGCTTGATTTCATCCTCATGTTCAACAGCAACTAGAAAGAGCATGCATATAAAAGTTACCTTTTCCTTCTTCTTACACTTTGGTTTTCTGAACACAAACATACCTACATGCTATGCCAGGCATATGTTCCCACATACCTCACATTGTCATTCTTTATCCCATAACAGTTACCTTCTTCTACACCATTCAGAGGTTGCAGCTGTCAGCAACAAGCTATATTTACTAGATAAACAAAATTATGGATAAAATGTGCTTGTGCATTACAATACAGCATTTACCTTAGTTTCAGTTTTAGTGTAGCATTACGATTTCATGCTACAGGCACAGTAGTTTGCAGTGTGTTTACAAAGACCTCTATACTTAGAACTTTGATCAGAATCTCAGAGGGTGAATTTGCGAGTGCTCTAGTGTAGATTGCTCCTTCTTTCCTACCATCTATCATTCATATCTCTTTTCCTATTTTGTCTATGTTACTCTCTTGTTACACCTCTAGCCTCTAGTCTCAGCACATATATGACCTAATCATGTTGCAAGTGCTGTCAAACTCTTACTAACACAATAAAACTAACTAGAATCTTAATAACAATATTAATTTTATACAATAATCCAGTTACACTAACTTTAACAGAAGGCAGCGGCTATTCTGACTCGAGAGTCTGAATAGCCTCCCATGGCACTTCGGATTCAAACTTCAATGCAGGTAGCGGATGTGAAGCACACAGGCAATTTGACTATGGCTTTCCTCAGTTTCTACAATCTTTTTTTTGGGGGGTGGGGGGAGGGAGGAGGGGAGGGGACAAGTGTTTTAAGGCGCTCGCAACTGCATAAGGTCATATGACAGCACGGGACACAGTAAACAGTTTCAGTTTGTAGGAAATTTTTTATTTTGCTTGGGTAGCCGCCAAAGCCTACTCTAATCGATTTTGGATCACCAAAGGATCTTTAACGGGTGCAACTTGCACACGAGACCTCCGAGATTTTTTGCCCTTGTCCGAGAAGGCTAGGTGTAGATCTTTCCTACCATAAGATCAGGGATGCAGCTGAAAGACAGCAGTAAAGAGCCAAGGAGTAGCTGTAGAAAGGCTGCAGAAAGAGTCAGGAGCCCAGAGGAGGGGGCAAAGGAGGTGAGGGGGGGGGGGAAACAAAGTGGAGACGAAAGCAGACGACGGAACAGAACATTGCTAAAGAGCAGGAAAGGAAGTGAAAGGAGACAATTTTAGAGAAGAAAATTTCTGTCGCTACCCGGATTCGGACCCGGGACCTTTAATTGAGAGGTGAACACCTTAACCTCTAGGCCACGAGAGCCCCTAAACAAAATCCTTGATCAATTTGAAGTCCACTTAGAAATTAAGAAGAGCAAAGTTAAAACCCTTCCAAAGGGAACAAAGGTCAGAAAATAATGCGCATTGGAGTTTGAGTCCGAATAGCCATAGAGGAGGCTATTCAGACTCGAGTCTGAATAGTAATAGCCTCTTCGTTGCAACTGAAACACCTGTCGTAACATGCAGTAGCCTCATTAGCATTCTCCTACTTATTTTTTTAATCTACTTCTGAACTCTTCTCTACCCTTTATTTGTTTTACATGACATGCATTATCAATTATGAATTATAAATTTTTATGATTATGTCATCTGCATTCAATTCACAGTAGATCTACTGATCTTGATGTAGATCTAGGTATAGATTCTAGATCTAGATTCTACTACTAAAAGCCGGAACAATGTGTGTTCTATCCATACTGTTTAAATAAACAAGGGTATAGCCTCAATGTCTGTACGTTCACTGCGTCATGAACGTAGTCTGCACCCTGAATGCAGTTTGCTGTTGAGGCTATGTACATGGGAGCGTTCACTGCCGGTAAAAGTCGGCCGGTTTTAGTCAGTGACGACAGTGATGTATATTTAATATTTTGGCCAGCTTCAAGGGTTCCATCCCATGAGATGAAAGAAAACGAAGCGCCCTTACAGAATTAAAGCCGGGATATGGGAAAGGAAAAATTGGATACGGTACATGGGAAACAAGAGGTGAGAGATGGGAAACAGAAAGTGGGATTCTGAAGATGGGACTGGTCATAAAATGTGTACAATAATGACTGTAGAGCACCGGGTCAGCCTCGGAACCGATGCAGAGCACGGCTGTTCACGAGCAGTACTTTAGTTCTACCGGCACCCCGCAGCGCCCCGACGCTCAGCGTAACTCGAACCAGCCATCACCAACTGGTCAAGAGGTCAGCGCGAGGAATTTTACCTGACTGACAGATTCACCATGAAAATGTTATCGCAACAGTTTTCAGCTTTGTTTAAACTGCGACTAAGCCCAAACTACAACACCAACTGTGCATAAAACCGTATACTTTGAATAAGCATCATCTGATATATTTCTTAGAGCAATCATGCAACTAATTAAGATAAAGAAATACGAGATGACGAAGAAAGAAAAGTGGATACACATTTAAACATTGATAGAGGGTCATGATTTATTTCATTAAACTTGAACATGGTAGCTGCTGTCGATTTTGACAATTCTAAGATATTGGGTCAGAAATTGAGTAAAGTTTCCAACTCACTTGGCTGCATCTGTGTGTCGTTGCCTAAAGCAAAGATATTAAGTCTTGAGAGGAGATTCACAGCTTTTCACAATATGTCCTCAGTTCCCCAAGTCCAGCTGTCACATGTGACGACTCTTGATAAAAACGTATCACTCTAGGACCGTGGGTATCACCAGTCAGGGTGTCAGCACTTATAACTGCATTTAAGCCTCTGTCACAATATTGGTAAATACACTATATAATTATTATTACATTTTAAGAGGTGCTAGATCTAAATTTGAAACAAAACACACCAAAAAAAAATATCTTGTGAACACTGAACAAAAGACGTCTATATCATTTTAAAGAAGAAAAAATCACAGAAAAACGACACAAAGTTGAAACTTACACCATTTGTACAGTGGCAGTGGGTGGACCAAAATCTGGGTGGGGCTTAGGTTTCTTCCAGTTATTTACCACCAAATAGCAAGCAATAAGAATTAATCAGTGATGATTTTTCCCTACTCACGGTGAGCCACGGCAGTTTGAGAACCATTCAAACGAGAAGAGTTGCCTTTGTTTTCAATCTCTTTGTTCTTAGTTAAATTCTTGTTGATGGTGGGGACAAAACCGATTCACCTCCAAATTTCCTCTTCTAATTAGTTTTCGTGTGATGAAAAAGTTATAACTGTTAAATCTCAGCAGCACAAACACAAACTTGCACACACAGCACTTCAAACATAATACTTATATGAGCTAGATTAGGCCGTGTAGTCGAGAAAGTTGAACGCACCCAACAAAGAACCAATGAGCGCATAGGTATCTGTGTCAGTAGGGGAAAATGTGTCGTAAACTTTCACCCCATTGTCAGGGCTAGGAGAGCGTGAGCCCTCGGTACAGTGTTATTTTTTCCCAGTCTTCTACCTTTTTACAAGAAGAGTTTCATTAAGGACGGACTGTGGGAAAAGGGCTCATCTTTGCTGAGCCCTAAAGACATTTGATTGGCTGCTGGGTTACTATAGTTGTAAGCGGGGACAACAGTGGTTGGATAAGCGAGCAAGCCACCAGGTTGTTCGCTCTGTGTTCATTGCGTGCGGTCAGAACGGTTTCAACTGCTTATTTCATTATGGAGAAACTTTCATTTACTTTGGGATAGAGTTGAGGGTGGTGGTTGGGGAGGGGGTAGGGGCTCAAGCCCGTGAGCCCTTCACTACCCACCGCCATTGCATTTGTACAGTATACCTATCCCTACTAGATTTGTAAAAAAGATTTGAAACTGATGGTGAATTTACAAAGTTATCGGAGTTTACATTCAATTAACACTGAAAAAGGAACCCGACTTGATAGAAACCCGTCTTGAGGAACGTATGTAATTTAAAAAAAAATTAAAACCACAGGAAAATGACACAAAGTTGAAACTTGCACAATTTGTACAGTATACCTATCCCTACTAGATTTCGAAAAAAGAATTGAAACTGATGGTGAATTTACAAAGTTATTGGCGTTTAAATTCAAATAACACTGAAAAACGAATCCGATTCCATAGAAACGCGCCTTGGAGAACATAGTCCAATAAAATCAAGGTTGTAAACTGAGATTGACCAAAGTTATATCGTCTAGTAGGAGGAATGCTGAACTTTAAAATGGTGGGTCATATAGTGATATCACATCTTTAGATTTGGAGATATCGGGGTGGGAATGACACCATAATTTGGAGGAAATGCATTACGCGGGCAGGCGGGGGCAGGTCGCTGGTGTCACGGTAGTGAGCACGGCTGACAGCGGATTTAATGACCAACACATGGGTGGCATTGAGCGATTTCCGGGCGAGTTGAACAGCCGTGAGAGAGAAAACGACGGGAATCAATTATTCTTATTATAATAACAAATACCCCCCCTCTCTCTCTCTTTCTGTCAGTCTGTCTCTCTCTCACCTTGCTCTTTCCTTTTTTCTTTCTCTCCCCCCCCCTCTCTCTATTTTTCTCTGTTCTGCCTTTGTCTGTCTGTCACTCCCTCCCTCTTTCTCTCTCTCTCTCTTTTTTTCTCCCCCCCCCCTCTAACTTCTCTCTCTCTCTTCCTCTCTCTCTCTCTCTCTCTCTCTCTCTCTCTCTCTCTCTCTCTCTCTCTCTCTCTCACACACACACACACACACACACACACACACACACACACACACACTCACTGCCCGCAGACAAAATTGCACGCTTTCAACTCGAGAGCGCTGGAACGTTCGTTTGTTTACACTCGTATATCACCGGCCGTCACACGCTAACACAAGGTCGCACCCAAGTCTTGCCCGGACACCATTGAAACATCTTGGTAGGCGTATACATTTTTGTCACAAATACATTGTATATCTAATGTGTTGTTGCGTAATTAAGAGTTCATCGTTTTCCCTTACACAGGCGAGCTCTGACCCAGAGCTCAGTGTAAGGGAAAACGACGAAGGATTGATCGATCAAGGATAAACAATGCGCAGAAGCGATAAGCAGCAGCATCATCGGATCTCCGCATCATATCACATTACCGGTACTTCTCCTAGAAAAACATCGCACCAAACGTTGTGCCATGGCCATGGTAGGTATAAACGATCTTTGATGCCATGTGGTTGGCTATGTTTAGATCATGAAGTCACGTGATCGGAGGGGTATCCCGGTCTGACGTCACATAAGATGGCCGCCTTACCTAAAAATAGTTTGCGTCATTCTACGTTTAGTTGCATGTCCTCAACAGCGCCTGTTTATAACTTTATTCAGGGCGCAGTGCCGTGAACATATAACCATTACATTATAATTATTACATGTTTAAACCGCTCCGTCATTCTAAGACAGTTCTAAGTCTTACAGAGAATAATAAAGTTAAAATTTACCTAGTATCCTTGCCTCCAGTTTCGTCAACGTTTGTCAGTATTATAATTCTGTAGTTTTGTCTCGGACTCTGCTGCTGTTTGTCAGGCAGGAAGCGGGTCAGGCAGACGGCGGAGAAAATTCCAGTCCTAGCAGTAGACAAAAAGAGTCTTCACTCGTCGTATTCTTGTATCGCTAATTTCGAATCTTTGCCTCTATTTTAGACTGCTTTCCATAATAGCTGCGTTGTGCAAAGGCCATTCAAGAAATAATAGTTCGATGTTTGTGTGTCGAATATAATGTCTTGCAGTGTGTGAAAATTGTACATGTATAATGAAATCTCAAATGAATCGTGATGTTAAAAAATAGAACCATGTGCAATGCACTTGTTTGGTCAGACATTTTACTTGTTACTATTTCCTTCCTCTGGTATCCTTAGGAGGTCGAAGGGAGGTGCAAGTTTCGGTTCTGTGCTAGGTGTGTGTAGCGTCTGTGATAGATATGTTGTTCCAGGACCTTTTACTTTTAAACCCCATCCAGTCAGGTCTTTCTGGGTCTTCCTCTTGATTTGAAGCTGGATTCTCGGGTGCTGTAAGTTCTAGCCGCTAGTTGTTTCTGGGGCATTAAATTCTGGTTAGATGTCCAAACCATTTGACTTTGACTCTTTGACGATCTACGAATTTCACTACTGGTGGAATTCCAGTTTGTAGACGTATGGTTTCGTTTCTAATAATGCGGTCTCTTCTGGTGACGTTGGTGGTTTTGCGGAGACATCTCATTTCGCTTGCATTGATTTTTCTTTTTTTGTGCCTTGTTTAGAGACCATGTATGGCACTGGCATGTTAATGTTAGTACATGTATGAAGATGCTATTGATGAGTTGGAATTTCACTTTGGTTGGGATGTTCTTGTGACGGAGCAGGAGTGCTAGCTGGTAGGTCAATGCATTTGCCTTCATAGTTCTTGTTTCTATTTTTTTTTTGTGTTGTCCATACGCCCATCTTGTGTGAAAATGCTTCCCAAATAATATCTAAATTCCTCTACTTATTGGAGCTGTGTTCCGTCAATAAGGATATGTTGAGTTTCCCTGGGTTTCTGCTGACCTTCATAATACTTCTGTTTTTAAGAGGAAGATTTTCATGATCAGGTGTTTACATTTTTCATTTAGTTTTATCAGTAAGTCTCATAAAAACCTTCTATTTTGGTCCATGAATCTACTCTCTTCTAGTAGCTTACCTTATGCAATGATTGTTCAAATACAGCACTAATAATCTTATAATTGTGCAGATATGTACAGCACATAATATCATAGTGGTTTTAAACAGTAAAACGTTTGAAGCTAAAGTTTAAAAAATGAAACGCTTAACCATTTAATCGGTGGAGGGGGGTTATGGTGTGTGATTTGTTTGTTGTTCTTTTTAAAGATGTTTTGGGCTTTTTTCTGTTGGTTTGTTTTTCATTTGCAAACAAAAATTGTAGACCTCCTATGTTTTGCAGGATAGCATAGCTAACCTGACCGCGCATACTGAAACATTAGTACTATGACTGCGTGATAATGAAGAATATAGTGTGGGCAGGTCTTTACCAACAGACACTTTTGTAAAGCACAAAATGATAAGTTTGTCACCCCCC